AGTGTTCCATGAGCTTGTCACACACGTTTTTGAAATGTGAGAGGCAACCGGAGTACCCAAAGAAAGCCCACACAGGCACGGGGAGAACATGCAAACTCCACACAGAAAGGCCGGAGCAGGTATCGAACCCCGCACCTCTGCACTGTGAGACTGACGCGCTAACCAGTCCACCACCGGCCGCCCTTAAGGATATACCAACTAGTGTAAAATGTAGTCTTGACAGGCACAAACCAAATCCGAAAATGAACCTATACCTTCAACGCTGCTCATTGTTTGATTAATCAATGGAAAAAAAAAACTCGTGTCACAATTGCTTGTTTTTTCGCCCCTAGTCTTCTATCAGGTTTTAGTATAAACGTAGTCTTCACCGTTTCCCCCTCAGGTGAACTATGGGAAGGTGAGCAACGAGAGCCGCAAGAGGCGTCAGTTCACGGTCTCGCAGGGCTGCAGTCCGGAATTTGTGTTCGTGCCATGCGGTAGCTCAGTGGCCGTGTACGGCCTCCACACGGGCGAGCTGGTCACCATGCTGCGTGGTCACTACAACAACGTGGACTGCTGCGAGTTCCACCCGGATCACCAGGTGAGACGCGCCAGATTGAGTAATATTGTCTCATCCACGATTGCTCCTGATTGACGTTTGAGCGTACGTGTGAGAGAAGAGAACGCATTGCACAAGTCAAGGATGAACATCCCACACCACCCCCGGTGCATTGTGTCATGCAAGTGTTTTGTTTGTACTTTGCGATGAGAATGCAGTCAAGCCGCTTGTCACTTGTGATTCGCGGGAAATAAGCCACCCCTGCTGAAATGGCGATCTGTGGTGTCCATGATCCCTTTGCTTCTTACTCCCACTATGTCTACCTGGATTTGTTTTGTTTTTAAAATGATGGTCAGGTATTCATCCAAAAATCCTCCCACGAAATGAAGATGAGGAAACTACACCAAAATAAAATAATGACGTCCAGAATGCATGGTGTTTTTTTTTTTTTCCATAAAAATATACGACTACCTGGAGGTCTTTTTCATTTTTTTTAAACCATTTTCATTCTTTGTAACTTTGTTTGGGTTCAATTACCAAGTATCACTTCACACGTCATTATTTTCTGAAAACAAAAACAACAAAGAAGTCATATTTATTTAATACTTTTCAATTGCCTCGTTCCAATTTTTATTTAAAAAATTCACTACATAATGGTAAGTTTACATTTGATATATTCTTGTCATTTTTTTGTTTTAAATTTAGAAAATGAATACATGACTGAGAATAAAATTACAAACAAAAAAAGAAAATCATGATATATACAGCAAGGAATGTTTTCTTCAAAAAATTGCACTTTAGATTTCGTACATTTTTTTGTGTCCATATCACAACAAAAGTCACTCACTCATTTGGTGTCTTTTCCTATCATATAGGAGTTGTACAGCGCAGGTAAAGATGGGAACATCCTGGCGTGGGTTCCGGTCTTGCGCGGCCCAGATGTGGAGGAAGAGTCAGATCAGGTAACAAGACTTTTTAAATTATGAATAGAAAAATGGATTTCCGCCAGACATGATGAGTCATCACTTGCATGCAATAGTCATGACCAATGTAAGTAAATGACTTTGGTCTATTTTTTGTCTTAACATGATGACATTATTTGCTCATCATGCCAGGAATGTAAAACAAGGTCACACAGTTCTTTACTGCACACACCGGGCACACTTGCATCACCGCATTCTATTTTATTGTCAGGAACAAAATCCAACGACAGTCAAGGTTTCCAGTTAAACCGCAATCGCTCTTCTTAGCTTCCCAGAGCGTCATGACAAGTTTCGGCCTCAGCATGTACCAGCTCAGGCTTGCTAAACAACCTCTTCCACTCCAGGCAGTCTCAGTCAGCCTTGTTCGCAACAGTTTTAACAATGTTCTGCCAGGAACCTTTGATGACAAGCCAAATAGTTACAATTGCACTCAGAAGGCTGCCTACGATTGAAAGTCTTCATCAATTCCCTGCAGTCCATCATAATCCATTATTATTAGCAAACGGATGCATTTACTTAGTCAACTGCGGATGGGAGAGGCCTTCGTTTGTACAATTATTTTTAAAAGCATTAAACCATACTACATACCACAACCACACTATAGAGAAGAAAAAATAGCAAAACTGCAAGAAGGCAGATAACCCGAAACAAATAAACAACCTGGCTTCTTGGACCATAAAGATGGACGCACACAACATTGTTGAGTGCCTGCGAATATTCTCATTCATCCACGTCATGTCACTGTCATTCAGTCAATCACATCTGTTGCGATTGCCTCAAAATATCCGTTCATGCATCAAGGCTATGTAGCTCAGCACTAGCCTGAATATTGTGTGGAAACCAAACCATTCATCCCCTAAGCTAGAAGCACACATCAAACCATAAATGCTCTCACTTCTTCGCGATGCACGGACAAAAAGGACGGTCACTTGGCATTTCATCTGAAATCCCACCTGAGCTTCGATGCTGCTGTTTTGGTTAGCAACAAAGTTCTAATGCGCAATGCAGTTATTCAGGAATGCACTGAATGAAATGTTCAAACTGTGTATCATGTTACAGTGGCTCCAATTTTTTTTTGTTTGTTAATCCAGTGCAATAGATTTGTAAAGTACAATTCAGTTGCATTGAAGTTTTCAATACAATACATGAATATTTAATCTTTGAGAATTGTTTGTTGTCTATACGTTATTGAGGTTCATTTTTTAATTGAACTTACAGGTGCAATATATTCTAATTGACACTTTATTTTCTGTTTTTTTCCCCGCGATACCTATGCACAGTGTTCATATTTAAATTGTGCATACTGTTCCAGCGGTATATGATAGCATTTAAAAAAAAACAAAAAAAAAACGGACTCCCTTTTGAGGAATACTCATGTAGGTTGAGATCGAACACGAAGTAGCGCATCGCCCCGCGTGTCTCGTCCTGTTTGGGGGGGGTGGGGGGAGGTTTGTTAGCACGTGGGTTGAGCAGGGGCTGCTCCTTGTCCTCCAACAGAAAAAAAGAAATGTCATTTGTATGTCGCTAGTCAATCTGGTGAGCGGTGATTGTATTACGTGGGCTGTTAATTGCTAACTTGGTTGTCAGTTCAACTGCTGTAAACAAGTCAATACACTCACCACAACTTCCTCACTCCCCATTCTCCAAGTCTGCTATTTTTAGGCTCAGTCCCAGGAGGTATTGGAAAGTGGTTGCTCACAAACAATACACAATGACATTTTATTTCACCACACAGTGTGTGCCTGTTTGTGCTTGTGCTGCTCTTCCATGTTGACGTAGTCAATACATTCTCAATACTGATGACGCCACGAACAGTTCTCATTGGCAAGCCCAATTGGAATGGGTGAACAATTACATTTTTCACTTTAAACGCTTCATCCACGTTGCCCGGCATGCATTCGCGCCTGACCGTGCAAACTACAGAACCTCTCAACTGTCTTTTGGTCTAACCGCAGCTTTGGGCCCACTACACTCTTATATTTTAATGTTGGTCATTATGCTGGGATTTGGAATGCTCCGTCATTTTTGGGGTAAACTTGGTGAAAAAAGTTTGACAATATTTGTTTGCAATTTTTTTTAAGAATGTATAAGTAGAATTATTACACAGGGGATATTGAGCTTTGTGTCATTTTACAGCATGCCACAGTGAAGTTGTCAGTGAACCCCGCGTTCCAGGACGCGTGGAGCAGTGATGAAGATTAATGATGCTTCCAGTTTTCCCCGATGGACTACACATTTTTTTTTTTTTTTTTTTTTTTACAATGCAAGCAAATTAGCAGAATGAAAGGCTGCAGCATATTCATCAAGTCTTTTTTTGTGTTCTATTGTATACATTTTTCTGCCACCACCTGGAAATCCATTGGTGGGAGTGCCTTGCATTGGAAAACATGCATTGTCTTAATTCATTCCTGGTGCGTATTTGCATCTGTGTTTTTGTTGGGCCCTGATGTTGAAACTTATGACAAGACGGGCGATACCAAGAGAAGCCTCTCCCTGAAGACACCTAAAACACAATAGCCTTCGTAAAACTCAATAAATGAACCTTTTTGTTTTTGTGTTGTTTGTTGAATGTGTGAACTTTTTTTAAAGAGACTTTTTCTGTTCGGGGGGTGGGGGGGGTAAACGTTTGTTGAAGAATTACAACTTATTTCTGTTGAAAAACATGAAACGAAATGTTGAATTTTTTTGTTGAAAAATACTGTATGTTTCTTCTTTCTTCTTTCTACCCACAATCTTGCTGCTGTAGACTGTAAATTTCCCCAATGTGGGACAAATAAAGGATATCTTGAATCTTGAATCTTTAACAAAAGCTTCCATTGGTAAAAATGTCTCTTTTTTTCACATAGAATTAAGCTGAAAATAAGAGAAACATTTTGTTGAACTTTGAACTGTTGAAATAATTGTAATAAATAATAGTATATAGTTTTAGTTGAAAAAGATATTTGGGAGAAAAATATATTTTTCGTTAAAAATATACTGTAATTGTTTTGAAAAATATGTATTTTGTTGAAAATATGTATTTTGTTGAAAAAAGATTTGTAAAAATATATGCAACTTTCATTTGAAAAAAACATACAACTTTTTATTTTGTATTTGGCTTTTTGATGGAGATATTAAAAAAAACTTTAGGGATAAGCACAAGAGCATTAATTTGTACTTATCAATGTGTATGTGTCATTTTGATTGTTTTTGTTTTAATCTGATTTTCGTTGATGTGGGGGAACAACTATGGAAAAATACTTATTGTACACGCTGTACAGTTTCTGTTATTTTTCAATGATCGCATATAATGGCAGATTGTGTGTGATGCAAGCGTTGTGAACGTAACGTGACGTCTCCTTTAGGCATTGCCCAAGAATGTGTCTCCAGATTCCACGCGCCGGCCAATCAGCAAACCCGAAGGATTCGAGACCCGCCCCCTAGTCAACGTTATAAATAACGCGGGTGCGCCCTTCATTAACTCGTGAACAGAGCTTGAGACGCACCTGTATGATTAGGAGTCTTTCCAAGCCTAATTTTATTGTGATTTTTTTTTTTTTAACCACAGTTCAACGCCAAAAAGGATTTTTTTGCTGGGTCGTTGTACGACAGAATCTCAGGTAAAACTTTTGTCTTTCAGCAGCGCAGTGTGTGGACTTTCATGGCTTAACTCTGTTGAAATTGGTGGATGTATCTAGCTGCTGGACTAGTTTTTCATCCCTTGCGTCATTGCATCACAGCCACAAACGTTCTTTTATCCCTGCTGGTGTCCATAAGTAACCGTTGCGATAGTATGTGTGAAGCTAAAAGCAGGTTATTCGAGTTCTTTTGTGCCTTTCAAATAGTCTTTTATTTTTTTCACGTCGGCAAATGCTGATTTTTATCACGCCGAGGCTAATAAGTGGCTTTGAAGTAGGTGAATTAGATTGATTTAATGGTATAGTGCTTTGAATATTTGTTCGCCTTAGTTTGTATAATATGTGCTGGTAGGACCTGGTGCTGCTGTTCTAGCTAAGTCTTTGAAACCCTGTACAGTGGACGAATAGCTTTTATTTTGTCTCGCAGCCTCCTAACTTCACTATTATTTTGTATTCACGCGTTTACTTCCGCTTCGAGCAGCAGAGAACTACAATAACTTCCAAATAAGGACTTCCGTTGTGCGCAGCTGCTTGATCGGCTCCACAAAGGCACCGTTGTCTCACTACTGGGCTCGTTTCGTCGAACCAGTCATGCCAGTTAGTCGTACCGGGGAGGCCCCCCACACTGTCAGGTTTAATTAAACTATTTTAATCACCCTTAAGAACATTAACGATCATGCAATTTGCAGTTGCTGACATGACAAGCAGTTTGAATGCCATGCTGCGATGCTAATCAATAGTTATTTGGTATTCCTTGAGTTAGATTACAACAAGGTGTTTTTTTTAATCCTTTCCCCCTGAAGAAGACTATGAAATTGTCACTTTATAAAGCGCATAAAAAGCATGTATAAATGATTGATCACTTTGTTGTATTCTATGAAATGCCAAAAGTAGTAAAACTGAATGATAAATTGGCGGGTTTTGGGCAGATTAAAAAAAACAAATGTAAGAATGTCATTTAAAGTGACTCAACTGCCCCATGCTGTATATACTCATTTGCATTATTGAGTGATACAGGGCCCCCTCCTTGTATCCACATTTATGCCCACATAGCTAATTTTATTTTGGTGCAGGCAAGTAATGGGATGTATCCATATCTATGCTGACCTATGCACACGCATGTGGAAACTTGTTCTTCAAATAATGTAAAATGTCTCCTTAAAGGGTGTAATGCAAATTTTGACGAATGGAAATCAGTGTTTGAACGGTAGCCAACTTTTTACTACATGGGCTTGCTTTCAGCTCTCGACTCATACGTGGAACCGTTCAGTGAAAACTCACATGCAGCACCGATTCTGGAACTGACCATCACCAAAGATTGGGTCGTGGGTTTTGGGCAGATTAAAAAAAATAAATCTAAGTGTCATTTAAAGTGACTCAACTGCCCCATGCTGTATATACTCATTTGCATTATTGAGTGATACAGGGCCCCCTCCTTGTATCCACATTTATGCCCACATAGCTAATTTTATTTTGGTGCAGGCAAGTAATGGGATGTATCCATATCTATGCTGACCTATGCACACGCATGTGGAAACTTGTTCTTCAAATAATGTAAAATGTCTCCTTAAAGGGTGTAATGCAAATTTTGACGAATGGAAATCAGTGTTTGAACGGTAGCCAACTTTTTACTACATGGGCTTGCTTTCAGCTCTCGACTCATACGTGGAACCGTTCAGTGAAAACTCACATGGAATAATGTAAAATGTCTCCTTAAAGTAATGTAATGCAAATTTTGACAAACGGAAATCAGTGTTTGAACGGTAGCCAGCTTTTTACTACATGGGCTTGCTTTCAGCTCTCCACTCATACGTGGAACCGTTCAGTGAAAACTCACATGCAGCACCGATTCTGGAACTGACCATCACCAAAGATTGGGTCGCATTAACTGCTGATGTAATTATTAATGGAGACAAATAGTTGTTTCCTCACCAAAACAATGAGCTTTGTTGCACCTGGGTGGAACCCACTTTCCACATTTGGTCAATTTCAAAGCATTTCATTTTTCCCCAAATAAAGAGGCTGTCTTGATGAGAGTTTCTTTACCAATTCCATAGCAATTCAAAGTGTTAAATAGCTTAAACTTTAACAATGCGTTTTGTGAATAACCTCAAACAAGCAGGGACTTAAAAAAATCGGCAAAAGCGATAAGATATTCATCTGCTTATTTTCTTATTGCTAAGGTTAATGAAATGATTACCCGATACTGGATTGTAGATTGCATATCTGCGCGACTGTCACTCATTGTACTGCTCATACACTCCTTGCTTTATGTGGTCTGCCTGCCTCCCCCTCTCTCTCTCTCTCTCACACACACACTTACATTTTGCTCTTACACTTCAGCAAAGCTAAGAAGTGAGCATGCTGATTTTTGTTACCTTGGCGTTAACTGATACAATTCAACTGAGTTAATGTACATGAACCTTTTTTTTTCTTCTCTCAAAGTTGAACTTGTAAGGCTCGAACAATGGAACTATATGAGATAAAGTCTTCAGCTTCGCTCATGTATGATGGCTTCATCCAGAATGCAGGTCGGTTCCTCCTCCACCCCGTTTACCTGTTCTGGTTAAGAAACTCGGCTCTTTTATCCATTTTAATCACCTGTTGCAGACTCTCGTACGGAGGACTGGCTTCTCATGTCGTCTCCGGTCATGCAGAGCGTCATCATCATGGCGTACATCTTCTTCGTCATGTCGCTGGGGCCTCGCATCATGGAGAACCGCAAAGCCTTTGACCTCAAGGGGGTTCTGGTGGTGTACAACTTCAGCGTGGTGGCGCTGTCGCTCTACATGTGCTATGAGGTGGGTCAACGGGAACTGCCACGCTTGTCACCGCAAGACATGTTGCAATGTCAAACCTGCGTCAAATTATTGATTTGCTTGCTTGAGTGTGCAATATTGTCTAAAACATGTCGAGCGTTTTGCTTGTTACTTAATTGGAGTATGTCTTTCTAGTTTGTCATGTCGGGATGGGGAACGGGATATTCCTTCCATTGTGACCTCGTCGACTACTCTGACTCGCCGCAAGCTATGAGGGTAAATATTTGTAACTGAACCCACGCACCAGATTTCGTGGTTTATGAAGGGCGCCCAGTGACGCTAGGAGGCATGCTGGGTGTTGCCATTGTTACGGGTTTTTCATTCAGTTTTCAATTTTAAAAGGGTTTTAAAACGAGAATTTACTATAATTCTGACTTCACTACTGCATTAGTACTGGGTTACTGGCTGTTCGGCCTTGCCTAAAAATTCAGTTTCCAAACTCGCCGCTTTAGGAACAGTACTCTTGTTTTAATGAGCAATAAAAGAATTTAAAAATTCTGCTTTTCAAATAAAAATGATGACAATTTGTTCGGTCATATCTTAGCTGGACAGGGGATGTTTAGGTGTAAAGACAAACACTTTACGATTTAAATTAAAACTACTCAACTTTTTTATTTTTTTTTTTTTAAGATGTCTGACAAACATGTAATGGAAAGGGAGGCGCAACAGTGTCGCCTAGTGGCAATTTTATGTTGGTTCATGTTTCTGCTGTGCCATCAATTAGTACCTTCGCTGTGGTGTTGGCATGACACAAAAACGGATGACCTAAGTGTTCATCCTTCGGGGTGTTTTGATTGTTATATTTCACTAAAATGTTTCCAATCCCTCAATTTGATAATTAAAAAAGGTGATGCCCTCTGCCTGAGTCAAAATTAAGGGTTAGTTGACTTTGCAAAGGCAGGCCAAAATTGAGGTTTGCTTTTCTTTGCAAAAGCAGAAAAAGTATACCTTTTGCATTGTGCAAGTGTGTTGAAAAGTTGCAACATGGCTGGAGATTATGTGACTGAATGTGTCTTTGTCCAATAGATGGCGGCAACGTGCTGGCTGTACTACTTCTCCAAGTTCATTGAGATGTTGGACACGGTAAGCAGGAGTTCTGATGTTGTCTGTGACCTCAGGAAAATTTGGCAAGTACTGTACTTCAAATTGCTTTTTTTTTTTTGGGTTAGATTTTCTTTGTGCTGAGGAAGAAAAACAACCAGGTGACATTTCTTCACGTGTACCATCATTCCATCATGCCGTTTACCTGGTGGTTTGGCGTTCGCTTTGCCGCAGGTACCGCAATCTCCCACCTTGAAGTCTTCTTTTCCATTTCTGCAGTTTTTCACAATATGCTTCACCCCCAAGGTGGTATGGGGACTTTCCATGCACTGCTCAACTGCGTTGTCCATGTCATCATGTACTCTTACTACGGCCTGACCGCCCTGGGCCCCAATTACCAGAAGTACCTGTGGTGGAAGAAATACCTGACCACCATTCAGCTAGTACGTTACATTTTGCTCCATGTCAGAGCTGTAAAGAGAACCTCCTTCCTGTACGGGTTGTTCCGATAGGTGAAGAGAGCAACGTCGTGTCATGTGTGAAACAGGCTAAAGTCTTTCTCTTGCGCAGATCCAGTTTGTCATGGTGACCACGCACATCTCGCAGTACTTCTTCATGCGGGACTGCCCCTACCAGTTCCCCATCTTCATCTACATCATTGGTCTGTACGGCCTCATCTTCCTCTTCCTCTTCCTCAACTTCTGGTACCACGCCTACACCAAAGGCAAGCGGCTGCCCAAAGTGCTGCAGGCCCAGACGTGGGCCCACCATACAAACGGCGTCATGAACGGCAACGCCAACCACGACAAAGACAAATAACCGGCAAGCCTGGCACGGAGCCATTTTGTGGCGGACTGCGCTTTGTTCAGATTTAGTGTTTTTCTACTGGCAAAAAAAAAGACAATCTTTAAATTATGACCAAAGTTATATTTAACCCAGCGAAGGGATTATTTTGTTGTTGTGTATCTTAATGTTATGCCTTGACTGTTAAGTGTCACGGGGGAAAGAAACCAACCATACTATGTAGGGCTTTGCCTATGGCATGACTGAGACTCCATGACCCTGCCCTATGCAGTGCCCCTCCTAAAAATGCCTTAAGTGATGGGTGGGACTCGGGTTTTTGTTTTTGGCCCCCCCGCCCCCTTTCTCAGTGGTTCACTATAAAAGCTTAATGTCACGTTGCTTTAATAGCAGCTCCAAGGCTATTTTAATGGTCACATGCATGCAGAACAGGGTGTTTATTTTCAATTTCATTTCACACCTCGCCACTTGGAGTCACAATTCCTGATGATACCGGTCCAGAGAAATGTTCTCATGAAGCGTGACCCATTTATTCCTGGGGAAAAAAGCTAGGAGGCGTTGTCCTGGACCACCAGGGCATTCTTATTGGGTGAGGGGGAAAAAAAAAATGTGCACAGCAGCAATGTCTTTGGATCGGTGACTGGAGTGTGTCGTGATGATCTTAAAGCGCCAAAGTGAATGGAATTGCGCTCCGGTGGTGGAGGGGAGGATACGAATACAAGCTGGCTAGTGGTGTGGAACAGAGAAGAGGTTGACAGATCGAATGATGCAGTTCCTGTTAAGGTCTAATAGCCTGCTCTCAATGTAATTGTTACCCATTTATGAATAATGTGCTTTTTGAAAAGTTGTTTCTATTGTTTTATATGTATAATAAATGTTGACGATATACTTGAGTTGTTTGTAGAGACTTAATTTTGATTTTCATGACAACCGGTTTGGATAATGGACGGCTGGGCTTTTATTGCCCATTTTGGTTCTATGGATCGTGTTCCACTCTGGACACGACGGCGGCTACCATCTAGCAGGCCCATGCATTGTTTTATTTAGGTGCTCGATAAATAAAATTAGATGGATGAAATCAACGGTAAAACAAAAAAGAATTACTACAACGTGGTAACGTTAACTGTCAAACTTTTGGGAGTTTATTTTAAAACAGTGCTTGCTGTAGTAAATTTACTCCCAAGCACAGACCAGGAACTTGGGTGGTATTAGGTTGATTATCTAGTTGTCAGTTGACTGTTTAATGAAGTTTTGTGGGAACAGAAATCAGGTTTGCTCAAATTTGGTATAAACTTGCCTTGATTTTTCAAAGTTGCAGATGAAATGGGTCCCAACAGACCAGGTGAGAGGCCTGCTTCTGCTCGATGGTCATTCACATCTTTAGCCACTGCAATTGAGGAACCAAACGGGCTTGTCTTGGGGATGCAGAAGGAAGCCGGAGTTCCCTGTAGAAAATGCCAGCCACCGTTGTATGGTACATGCAAACCTCGCACAGGCTCGTCCATTACAGGAAATTTGCAACATAATGCAGAAATAGCGTATTTTATGCCTTTCCGGTATAAGCATGAATAAATTGCTTTGATCAAAATGAATGACTTTGTAAAAATTTTAAGCGTGAAGGCAGACTGGCAATAGGATCACAAGGCTATCAAAAGGGAACGACTTTTTTTTTTTTTTTTTTTTTTTTAAACAGTGTTCGAAAGGGCCTGTTATTTCTCAAGTGCCAGTCACGAGCACCGTGCTAAGGGGGGACGAAAAAACCCCACACATGGTTTCTTTTGATGCTTCATTTTGAGGTGTGACATCACATGAACACCAATGACAAGAATCTTTTCTTACAATGGGCTCTCACCTTACCCTCGTGCCTCCTCCAATTAGTTCCTTTCATTTGCATCTTGTCCAGCTGTATCTCGTGGTCTGATTTGTTGGTTGATCTCATGACGCAGTGATTCTCAGTCTGGTAAATGTTAAGTACAGTTCAGTTGTATTGCACTTTGTATAATACATTCATCCATCCATTTTCTGATTCGCTTATCCTCACGAGGGGTGCGGACATGCTGGAGTCTAACCCAGTTGTCTTCTGGCGGTCGGCGGTGTACACCTTGACCTGGTTGCCAGCCAATCGCAGGGCACACATAGACGAGCAACCATTCAAGCTCACAATCACACTTGGGGCCAATTTAGTGTTCCATGAACCTGCCATGCACGTTTTTGGAATGTAGGAGCAAACCGGAGTACCCGGTGAAAACCCACGCAGACACGGGGAGAACATGCAAACTCCACACAGGAAGGCCAGATTGATTGAACCGTGTACCTGCACTCTAAAGCTTTTCTACCCGAAGCCCCAATTCCACAGATTGGCTATCAAGTCTCACTGTCCCAACTCCTTTCTTTTATCCTCCTGGCGTGTCAGTCTTTCTCATTATGACATGCTTACACTTGTGGCGGCCATCAAGGAGGTGATCAAAGTTAGCCACGCAAGCTAACTCTCCAAAGAGAAGGTACTTTTTTTTTTTGTGTGTGTCGTAGGCACAGCGAGTTGGCGAAATAACATACAGTAAATGGTGGATGTCAAATGTTTTTGTGCTTGTTTGTGGGAGATTGAAGAACAAACAAACCCACCACCATCTTGCCTCGTTTGCGTTTTAAGATAACAAACCAACAAACCGCAATTGAAACAACAGCTCTTGCCCTCGCACTTTCACGCTGAGTGGAGATCGTACCGAAAAGGGCTGTAGTCATGTTGCTTCTGCTTTAAAATGCTACAAATCCACACCGATGCACGATTTGGACCAGGGGGGTGTTTTTGTCGGTTTTACTTTAACTTTGCCTTGCACCAAGTCTTCACACCTCACCCCACAGAGAACATCTCCCCTCTTTTTCCTTTTTTTGTGAGGGCATTGCCAACAGCTTGGCCGTTATCTCGGCCGTGCACAGCGGTGGAACAAATCTGATTTTCACAGGTTCTTATCTGCCTGGCGGCAGTGTATCACGTTGTCCCCAAAGCCGATTTATCGATCACTCTTTCGTCATCCGTTATGTCTTGCTGAGATTGAATTTACCCGCATACCATTGTTCCTGTCCGGTTTGACAAACCCATTCATTCTTTATGCTCCAATAAGTATTCCTACTACTGTTCCTATTTCCTATTCCTACTCTTTATTCAGTGTGTGTTTATGATGATGCAAACAGTCAAAAGTGGGGGGAGAAGTGAGTCTTTGCATAGTATTAGCATAACCTTTCCACTCCCGTGAATTTATGAGCCTCGCAGCGGGCCTGCTTGCTTTGCTGATTCCATGTCTGCATTCCTGTTTGCCTCAATTCCCTGAGGGACTCGTCCGTCTTCTCTCCGGACTCTATCCCCTCTCGGCCTTTTTATTCCTGTTGGAAAACAGGATGTACCGGTGGGATAGCAAATTGAATCAAGGCTAGTGTGCTCAGCAAAGCGCCTAACAGGCTCCAGCTCCAAATTCAAGTGACATGTATGTGGGTGGAATGAAATTTGTCATTGGACTCAAAATGGATACAGCGGTCCTTCTCAACATTTTAGTCATCAGGGGCATGAACCTAGCAACTCCAAACCAACTCACAGTGAGCTAGATATTTCAATGACACTTTTATATGGTGGAGAGAAATGGTAGCGTGACACTTTTTACTGTCTGTTGGTTTTGGAATTTACATTTCTCTTCCAGTGGCAAAGTTACTAATTCAATGATGGACTTTGACTGACTGCTGACTATGTCCAGTTTTGAGATTTCAAAAAAAAAAAAAGTGTAAACTTGATCTTGTTTAGTTGCCACTGCCAGTCATTTTTGTTCAAGCCAGGATCTTCTCCGTGACCTCTGCTGGATGCGCAATCTGTACATTGAAAATTCCTTTGCATCAGTAGGTCTACTGGAAAAATATTTTACCATAAGCGATATGAACGAGTGGGACTAAATGACAGTCAAGTGAGATGGACCGAAGTTGGGGAGAAGTAGCAGGACGGCTTTGATCATCCCCTTTATAAAAGCAAAAAAAAAAAAAAAGACAAAGTTAGCTAGCTAGCAAGTTAGTTCATGCTACATTCAGGACTTCCTGCAACGTCTGGGACGGAGTCGGATCCAGAAGGCAACCACTCGTGAGACTAATCCAGGTCAGGTTCTCTGAATTCAGTTGAAAAGCTGGGCTGTGGTCAAACGCGCCGTGAGAGACGCTGACTTTGGGTTTATATGTCAGTGGCTGTTTTTAGATGGAGCTAGTCATCCTTCCTTCCTCTCCATGACTTCTTCCTCACAATCTCAACACTCTTTCCATTTGACCTATCGTGACTCGTACTCTGTTTATATTAGACATATACAGTACATTCTGTTACGATGTGAGCCGCCTGAACTTGTCCGAATTGCAACGGCTCACCATTTTCTCTCATCTGTCATCTTCTTTATAATCTATGTTGCGCTCTCATCCACAGAGTGGCACGTTACTATCTGCGTACGGTCAGTAGACTAGTACACAAAGCTGATATTAATGGACAAGCTCTGCCAGGCTGTCCCCCAGCCCGTCCTGTTGAAAAATGCATTTTAATTGATCTAATTCAACTCTTGACTGACCACTCGGCCAGTCAAGAGTTGCGATTCGATTCCGTTCAATTGATCCGTCATTGGCAGAACTTCAAAATGTAAATATTTAAAGCATGATAAATCATAATAAAAGAGAACGATGTGGGTTTTCTTGTCATAAAGCTGTGTTTTGACCTGTGCCTTTAAACCCGAAAAAGTTTTTTTTTCTTCTTTTTTGGTCTTTTTCCACATGCTCCTTTCAAAGTCTGAAAGTGTGTGTGAGTTCCTTTGTATTTTCATTTCATCTGAGGGACGGCTACGGATCTGAAACTCACTCGTAAGGCAAATTTTGGCCTGCAAAGACATAGCCAAAAAAGAAAAAAAAAATCAAGCAAGCAACAAACAAATATCTTGTTTTTCCATGAAATTTGGAATATATATATAAAACGAAATTAATTTGACCCCCCCCAAAAAAATTAATAAATAGATTAAACCGAACCAATATAATACAAAGCTGCCTGTAATCGTTTGGCAGATTTCGTAGAGCCCGATAATTTTTTGCCTCAAACCCAACTTAAATTGCACCTACAGTATCAGTCATCCACTCATGTCCGCTGTGGCGATTTCTTGGCAACTCTTCTGTGTGAGAAGCTGTGCCATTTGCCATCCACCTCGTACCAAAAAGGAACGAGAGCAACAGGAATACAGACCGATAAAGTCGGCTGCGATCGACAGCAGCTCACCTGTGAGCCTCACGAGGAATAGATCCCCCCACAGCACCATCCCTTTGATATGTTGTAGCATTGTCACACTTGAGCGAGACTGCAAAATCACCATTGGTGGCATTCTATGAAATACAATATGCATAATAATTTTTTTTTTCCCTGTATGTTCTTTAGTGCAGAAGAGCCATAGTTGACTGATGGCGCACAGTGAGTGAAATGCCTTGGGCTCAACATGTTCCAGTCATGTAAAGAAAAGGCAGAAGGGCTAATTTGACATGATGCCTCGTGACACTTGACATAGGTGAGTGCTTTTTTTTTTTTTCCCCTGTGTTCGTCCCTCATGTGGCACAGGAAATATCAAATACACAACTTGCTCTTGTACACTTGTAATTGATGGGAAAGAGGCAGGAATTTTGTGTCTTTATTTTTTTGTACTGTTTTTTTTTTTTTTTAATCTTAGAATCCAGAATGCACAAGGATATATATTTTGTTCTGAAGTTTATAGGTCCCCAAGGCTGAGGGGACATTGTTTTTATACTCTGATAAATATTTTCACATGCACACATTTCACTCAACGTATCAACAAATCATATGAGGTTACATATTGATCTTAGAGTCTCATAACCCTTCCCGTCGTCATTTCGTGTGGCGCCTGAAGAAATATGGGGCAGTTTTTCACGTGCAAAGGTTTTGTTGACTGTCTCATGTGCTCCACATAAAAGCAGAATCGCTTCTATCGGGCCGCTGTTCCTCCACACGGTGGCCAAGAGGGGAAGACAATTTCGGGGAATTTTAAACAGGATCTGGAAAATAGCGTTTTCCACCCAATTTCTTAGCAGCTGGATTTGTTCTTAGAAGGAAATAGCATCCCAAACATCAGGCATCCAATGCTAAACCTTTTTCTTCTCAGGCCCCTTTAATCCTCAACAAATAAAGCTAGCATTTGTGCGTTTAATGTTTTTTTGGGACTTCTTAAAACTGTTCCTCTGAGTTTTTGTCTTGTTTTATAATTGCATGGCTTGCTGGCTCAAATGTTCTGAGACGATGGGCTACATTTTGCCCACCCCTGCTCTAACTCCAAATATTTTAAATGGTTCTATGTTTATTTTTGTAATTCTGCCACAGAACGGTACCAGTGATGACAGCGACGAACAACGCCATGACGGCCACAGGAGAAGAAATGCAGATTATTTCAACCTAGAGGTCGCCTAGCAGTGAAAATACGGTAAACTTATCCCTGTCTCGGTATAATATGGCAAGTCAAGTTGACAATCAAAATGAAAGACTGTCCCCGATGTCCTGACAGGTCTTCTTCTGTCAAAATACAGCACACTTAAAGGGGAGTTTGCAATTTAAGAAAAAAACAAACACTTTTTGTCATATTTGTAAAGGCTGTCAGTATGACCAGACAGTAATACATTAGTAAAATGATCTACAGAAAAAAAACAACCTCTCTGCCTCTATCTTATGACTTTAATTTTATTTGAAAAAAACTAACAAACAAAAACACCACCAGTGAAAAGGCAACCAATCACTCATGGGCACACTCGTAGCACGCGCTTACCTGCAGCCTTATGCTGATCTGTTACCTTGGGCTTCAGGAGCTTTGCTGCAACTATGATGCAATATGCCCATGCCTCATTCGCCAACACCTGGACAGAAGACGAACAAAGAGAAGCAAAGAGAGAAGGGAACTCAGGCTGTTGAGAGGATTCAGAAGAAGTAGCTACATTCTTGCTCCTTACAGGTAAGTTCAATGACCCTTTGTTATTCTTACTTACAGGTGTTTGACCTTCCAAAGAATAAAACTTCAAACTAATAAATATTATCTAGCACTTCATTGGAATAAGTCATAATACCCACATATTAGCTTTGGTGAATTTTGGCTTTTTTACAACACTAATGCCAGCCTAGTATTGCTAGTGCTGATATTTTCTATTTATTTCGATTTATTTTATTTTTTCATTGAAATTAGATAGCTTTCCAAATCACCGTTCGTGAAACTGACGACTTGCAATTTTTTTTCTTTTTTTTTTCGGAACATGACTAAAAACTATTTGCTGAAAACAGCACCTAACTGCACGTACCTTCTACTTCTACGATGGCGACAGTTTGACTCGGGAACAGATGAATGTACAGTACATAATCTTCCAATGGAACCAAGGTGTTGAGAAAAATGGGGAGGAAAAAAAATATATCAATGGATTGCGTTCAACATGAGTCATTACTTCTACTTCTGCTTCTCTCCAATCACATCAGCTTTTGTTTTTTTTGGGTCTGTTACCTCATTCTTGGTCCACACAGTTTGTTCCACTCTCCGGCACGAGGAGGTGGGCGGGGGCCCGTCCGTGAGAGCCGCGCGATTGGTTGACGGGGGTGGGGCAGGAAACACTGTGACGTCCGCTGGCCCGTGCGGCTGGCAGCTCACTGAGGAGATTTCCCTCCTTCCTTCCATCATGAGAGAGCCTGAGCAGGCAGCAGGAGTGGGCGAGTGCTTGTGATGATGCGTGCATGCTTGTTTTGGTTCTAGCTGACTGGGACGATCAGACAGGGGGAGACACTAAGGATCATTCCATGTAAGTTTCTTTCTGGATCATAACAATAACTGATGATGGGTGCAATACATTCAGTGTTCATGCTGTGAGAGCTCTTGTCCATCTTGTATATGGTAAAGCATTCCATTCCAATCCATGGAGTTAATGCGCTGTGAGGGATGCAGGAGGATAGAGCTGCAAACTGCAATGCCTCACTTTGACTGAAGAGCTCAAGGACTTCACCCCCCCCTCCCCGCCCCCCCCCTTCCCCGAAATCTTCTCTGGTGTACATTCAGTGTTCATGCTGTGAGAGCTCTTGTCCATCTTGTATATGGTAAAGCATTCCATTCCAATCCATGGAGTTAATGCGCTGTGAGGGATGCAGGAGGATAGAGCTGCAAACTGCAATGCCTCACTTTGACTGAAGAGCTCAAGGACTTCACCCCCCCCTCCCCGCCCCCCCCCTTCCCCGAAATCTTCTCTGGTGTGACTTTCAGGGGTCGCGTCCCAAACTGTTTTCCGCAGATGCTCACAAACTACACTAGGTGGAAGTAAACTACTCGACTGTCCTCCTACGTCCTGTATCGGTATAAACCCATCAACGTTAATGTACGAAGTGAGCTATTTTGACTTTCATGGAAACCCTGACCTATGGAAATGGCACATAAAAAGTTGGCCATTTGTAATTGCGTGTCGACGTGCGCATGGTGTAATCATGGGTAGAGCATGGGTGTGTTTTACATGTGTCACACTTTCCCCTTGTTTCTCTGCCAAATGCGGTTGAGACGAAGAGCTTTGCAGTGGTACAAATTTCCTTGGTGGAAGTCGCGGCTTGTGTTTTCTATTCGTCAACTGTCACGCGTGTAGAAGTTGAAAGCCAACGCTGATGTGAAAATGTAAAGACGCACGCATAAGTGACAAGCATATGGCGGTGAACAAGCTGGCAGAGCGAGCGTGATGTGTGGTACGTCAAATAGGTTGTTTTTATCTCATCATAATTGTTATTATTTATTTATATATATTTTTAAAAAAACGAAATGCACTTCCAAAACCAGGCGTCATTTTTATGCGAAGTAGCGTCGTCAGTTTTTGTGAGATGTAACTCTGTAATTTTGTTACTTTTAAAAATAAAGAAATCAGTAAGTAATGAAGTTACTTTTTCAAGGTAACTGTGACAACGCTGCTCTTATGACGGCTCAATGTCCACAATTTGTGCATCTTTGGCATCTGTGAACTTTCTTTATCGCTTGTGCTCATTGGGGTTGTGGGTGAGCTGGAGCTTCTGTCAGCTGAGTTTGGAAAATAAGCAAATTATGTCCTGCACTGGTCGCCAGCCAATTGCAACGCACAGATAGACAAACACCTATTCATCCTCGCATTTACAACTAATATGCATAGCAGTACACTGAGTCCTTTGTTTCACCTGCGCATTATCGTCACATGACGTCACACGATGAACCGTGTAATCAACATGGAAACACGAGGAGGGTCAGAGGTCATTGACTCGTCTCGAACCCCTTGGCAGTCAATCATCGACTGTGCAGAGTAAGTCACAATTGGGCTTCTTAATAAGCGGCCGCGCGTACTGAGCAATTTTTATTTTTTGTTTTCACATCATCTCACCATGTGATGAGATGATGCATTGTAGCAGTTATTTGTTTATATGAGCCACTTAGGGCAGGACGCATTACAGGAAGAGTAAATTTGTCTCTTGTTATCCAATATTTTCCTACCGCAATTAACCACACAGACCGAACCTGTGGACCGCTTTATGGACCAACCCCCCGCCCCCCCTTCCCCGAAATCTTCTCTGGTGTGACTTTCAGGGGTCGCGTCCCAAACTGTTTTCCGCAGATGCTCACAAACTACACTAGGTGGAAGTAAACTACTCGACTGTCCTCCTACGTCCTGTATCGGTATAAACCCATCAACGTTAATGTACGAAGTGAGCTATTTTGACTTTCATGGAAACCCTGACCTATGGAAATGGCACATAAAAAGTTGGCCATTTGTAATTGCGTGTCGACGTGCGCATGGTGTAATCATGGGTAGAGCATGGGTGTGTTTTACATGTGTCACACTTTCCCCTTGTTTCTCTGCCAAATGCGGTTGAGACGAAGAGCTTTGCAGTGGTACAAATTTCCTTGGTGGAAGTCGCGGCTTGTGTTTTCTATTCGTCAACTGTCACGCGTGTAGAAGTTGAAAGCCAACGCTGATGTGAAAATGTAAAGACGCACGCATAAGTGACAAGCATATGGCGGTGAACAAGCTGGCAGAGCGAGCGTGATGTGTGGTACGTCAAATAGGTTGTTTTTATCTCATCATAATTGTTATTATTTATTTATATATATTTTTAAAAAAACGAAATGCACTTCCAAAACCAGGCGTCATTTTTATGCGAAGTAGCGTCGTCAGTTTTTGTGAGATGTAACTCTGTAATTTTGTTACTTTTAAAAATAAAGAAATCAGTAAGTAATGAAGTTACTTTTTCAAGGTAACTGTGACAACGCTGCTCTTATGACGGCTCAATGTCCACAATTTGTGCATCTTTGGCATCTGTGAACTTTCTTTATCGCTTGTGCTCATTGGGGTTGTGGGTGAGCTGGAGCTTCTGTCAGCTGAGTTTGGAAAATAAGCAAATTATGTCCTGCACTGGTCGCCAGCCAATTGCAACGCACAGATAGACAAACACCTATTCATCCTCGCATTTACAACTAATATGCATAGCAGTACACTGAGTCCTTTGTTTCACCTGCGCATTATCGTCACATGACGTCACACGATGAACCGTGTAATCAACATGGAAACACGAGGAGGGTCAGAGGTCATTGACTCGTCTCGAACCCCTTGGCAGTCAATCATCGACTGTGCAGAGTAAGTCACAATTGGGCTTCTTAATAAGCGGCCGCGCGTACTGAGCAATTTTTATTTTTTGTTTTCACATCATCTCACCATGTGATGAGATGATGCATTGTAGCAGTTATTTGTTTATATGAGCCACTTAGGGCAGGACGCATTACAGGAAGAGTAAATTTGTCTCTTGTTATCCAATATTTTCCTACCGCAATTAACCACACAGACCGAACCTGTGGACCGCTTTATGGACCAACCAGTCCGATACTGATCCTTTTTGTCTCTTTCTGGCCACTGCTACGACTGATTGTTCATTTTCGGCAAAGCTACTGTACATAGCAGGAAAATGCTGTGATGTAGTGTTCATTGTCAGCGTGAGTCAGTTTGGACTCAGGGAACTCATTGGATCCAGTGAGTCCGGTACAGAGCCGCCTCTTGCCAATTAGTCTCATGCCATCTTGGGTGGTAGTAACAGAACCCAATGACACCTATATAAATGCTGGGATGTTGGAACAGAGGCGTGAAGTTTCACACTTCTCCAGCCACTAGTGTGTTGAAAGAGATATATGTATATCCATCCATTTTCTGATCCGCTTCTCCTCACAAGGATCGCGGGGGGTGCTGGAGCCTATCCCAGCTGATTTCTGGCAGTAGGCTGGGGACACCCTAAACCGGTTGCCAGCCAATCGCAGGGCACACAGAGACGAACAACCATCCGTGCTCACACCTATGGACAATTTAGAGTGTTCAATCAGCCTGCCACGCATGTTTTTGGAATGTGGGAGGAAACCGGAGTACCCGGAGAAAACCCACGCAAGCACGAGGAGAACATGCAAACTCCACACAGGAAGGCAGGAGCTGGAATCGAACCCGGTACCTCAAACTGGGAGGTTGACGTGCTAACCACTGACTCACCGGGCCGCCTCCTGATTTGTAGTGTGATTATATGTAATTATGATTATTATTGCTTTTACGTCACACCAGACCACCAGCTGAAGTCTTCATCTAATTATCTGATTGCACGATGTTGAGTCACTGTGTAACAGTGCAAGTGGTTGTGGATATTTATATATCACCATTGCTGGAGGACGGCCTTGGTGGTTAGCGTGTTAACCTCACAGTGCAGAGGTGCAGGGTTTGATTCTGGCTCTGGCCTCCCTGTGTGGATTTTGCATGTTCTCCTTGGGCCAGGGTGGGTTTTCTCTGGGTATTTCAGTTTCCTCCCACATTCCAAAAACATGCATGGCAGGTTAATGGAACACTCAAAATTGTCCTTGGTGTGAGTGTGAGCGCGGATGGTTGTTCGTCTCTGTGTGCCCTGTGATTGGCCGGCAACCGGTTCAGGGTGTCCCCCGCCTACTGCCCGAAGACGGCTGGGATAGGCTCCAGCACCCCCCACGACCCTTGTGAGGATGAAGTGGATTGGAAAATGGATGGATGGATGGACCACTGCTGGGTAAAAATGAAAAATGGTTTATTATGGAACTTCCACTGAGAGCTATTTTGCAGAATCTGTTCAAGTCTGTGGTATATCGGCAGACAGCACTAAACCAGATTATACTCATACAAACTCATGCCCTGGAGCTGGCATTGCTCAGCATTGATAGTAATGCCAGCTCCAGGGCACGTTGGCATCAATTTCAGTCAACAGCAGGAGGCGGTGCTACGTAAATTGTCTGCCTCCTTGGATGGCTGAAAAAGGTTTTATGGGTATATGGTCTATAGTAGGGGTGTCAAACTTACCGTTTCCCTTGGAGGGCCATTATGACTGAAACCATATAAAGAAGTCAAGATTAACTGTTGATTCAACTTTCATGAGGGGTTTGGTAACAAGAAAATGCTTAGGATATCTCTCTTATTTATAACATATGAGAATAAAATTTTTTGGTAGACATTTTAGAAAGCATCATGGAAGTTGACATGTTTGATCTGCTTTCACGGGCTACATAAAATGATGTCGTGGGCCAGATCTGGCCCCCGGGCCTTGATTTTGACACCTGTGGTCTATGGTGTGTGTACGGTATCTCAGCCGGGTTTATCATTTTGTCGGCTCAGACCTTTTTTCCAAGCTGACCAGGGAGGAACACCTCTCAAGAAAACCTTTCAGAGACAACCAATAATCACGCGTCTTCTGACTGATGGGAATGCTGGAGTTAATTGAGATGTGTGCGCACCGCCTTAGGTTAAGT